CCCAGCCCCCATCCCCTCCCTCGACTGCTTCTCAGCCAACCACCCCAATACCTCCCTCCCCCCCTCCCTGCTAGATTGACCTGAAGCCCAGGAACGCGGGCGAGGAGCTGGTGTGCCTGGCCCTTACCCCCAGCTTTGCGGCCGCGGGGCGGCAGACCGACGTGGTGCTGATGGACACCCGCACACGGCGCGGCGCCATGACCATCATCCCCTCCCCCGACGCCACCGTGGTGCGTGGAGGGGTGGATGCTGGCCGCGAAAGGGACGCAGGGGGGGGGGGGGGGGGGGGGGGGGACTGCGAGCCAGAGCCGGCATGAGGGCGATGGGAATGCGGCGAGACCCGTGGCGGGACCACGTCGTAGATCTGGGTGTACGCCCATGGTCCCTCCCCTCGATGGTCTCCTGACGGGTATCGCCCAGATCGACCGACGCGCGGCGCGACACGCCTCACCCCAGGCCCCGATCCCCTGCCCACCACCTCTCACCGCCAGGGTGTGCGCTCTGTGTCGGTCCAGGACGACCTGGTGTCCTTTGGCACCGGCGCGGGCAAGCTCTGCTTCTTTGACGTGCGGGCGGGGAAGCTGCTGGACCGCGCCGCGCGGCGCGAGGCGGCGGTGGGCCAGTACCACACCCCCGCGCTGCTTGCCCCCCTCCCCTTTGCCCTGGAGACGGGGCCCGGGTGGCTGGATCAGAACCAGACCTACTGGTGGGTGGGCGTGTGGCGTGGGCGCAGGACTCCCCCGGGGCAAGGCGTGGAGGGGGCGAGGGCGGGAGTGGAGGGGGGGTGGGGCGAGACGGGGCCGTGAGAGGATGATGGAATGAGCATGCCGCCGGGCATGCTCTTCATCGGAGGGGAGGTGGAGCGAGGACATGGCATGTTACCACGCCGGCCATTCCACTTTCGTCCACCTCAGCGTCAGACAGGCAGCACGGGCCCCCCGCTGACCCACCCTTGGCCCATCCCCCCCGTCCAACATGGCTCACAAGGCTCGCACCATGTGCAGGGACCACTTTGCCAACACGCGGGTGCAGCACGCCTGCTACGCCCACGCCTGGGACCCGGCCGCCCAGCGCGTGTTTGCCTGCGGCGGGCCCCTGGCCTTTGGCATGCGGGGCTGCTACATGGGCCTGTGGCGGTGAGGGCGCCGGCGAACGTCCGCGCACGGCCGTAGAGCAAGGGAGGGCCCAGGTGCCTTGGCTGCGCGGGCGGTGGGCCAGCCTCGTCAGCTGCTGCCGGGCAACGCAGTGCTGGTGAAAGGCGCGCCGTGCGCAGGAACCCTTCCCGCCGCAAGCGCGCCCCCCCTCCTCCTCGTGGGACCCTGGGGCGGGTCCCCGACAACACCCGCACCGCCATCCCTGGTCCAGAAGTGCGTCATGGAGGCCCCCCATACCTTCCTCGCTTTCACTCACTGCTTCCATTCGTCGACTTTCATCCCCCCCCTCCCCTTTGTACTCCTCTCTTCCTGTAAACTTCTGTCCTGCCAAAGCAGCGTCGGGCACCTCATGGCAAGGGGTTACAAGGCGGAGTTCACTGTGGGAGGAAGGGGGGGTTTCACTGCTGAACTGGGCAAGCATGGCAGTACAGGGCAACAGCGGGCCACAGGGGCACGCTCTGTGACGTCTGGAGGTCGAGTCAGGGGTAATGGTGGTGCAGCAGGGGCCGACAAGGTCCTAGGGGTGGTTTGATCGGGCCGGCGATGCCTGGACCTGCGGGACTCCCCAGCGCCCCTGTCAGCACACCTCCGCGGCGGGGAAGGAGAAGCGGGACTGGGCGTCGATGGCGAAGCGGGCGATGCCCTCCGGCAGGCCCACGTACAGGCTCTGGCCTGAGGGCGAGAAGGCCAGGCCCGAGATCTCCGGGTCGTGGCCGGGGCCGGACCCCAGGTGCAGCACCTGGTGCCGGCCCCACATGCGCATGTCCACCAGGTGGGTTCGGCCCCGGTGCTCGGTGAAGGCCATGAGGTCCAGGGGCGCCGGCGCAAACTTGACGTTGCGACATGCCTGCGAGCGTGTTTGGATTGAGGTGCATGTGGTGGTGGGGAGGGGTGTGTGCACTGCAGGGATGCGGGACAGCCTCACGAAAGGCATGTGACGGGACGGCAGGGGCGGGGCCTTTGGTGTTTTTTCACTGCACAGCATCCCCTAGACCCGTGTGCATCCGAGACCTCTTCTCAAACCAGGCGACGCTCGGCCGGTTCAACCCGGCACGCACTCACCAGGGGCGTCATGTAGCGAACGACGACGCCCTGCGACCTGTGGTCCCATACGCAGCACAGTCCGTCCTGTGAGGACAAGGGAAGACAGGGATAGGGGACATTTGGGGGCTGATAATGGTCTTTACTCAAGACAAGGGTCTGCATTGTATGAGGGTGGACCCCCTCCCCCTCAGAGTGAACTCATACCGACAAACGGAGGTTAAAGTGAAGCAGGGCAGGCCTGGCAAACTCCACACCTTGAATCTCCACAAACATGTAGAAAAGTCAGACCCCCATGGACCCACCTGGCTGACAGCGGCAAACAGGGACCCCGAGGGCGACCAGGCACAGCCCATGCCCGCGTCCCCGGCCTCCACCCAGCTCTTGGCCTGCCAGTAGCCCGAGGGGCGGGCGGCGTAGAGGTAGGTCCCGCGGTTGTCGCCCACCGCCAGCAGGTGCCGCGCGCAGGGGCTGAGCGCGCAGTAGTTGATCGAGGTGGGGCAATCCACGGAGGCCAGCAGGCGGCCGTGGGGCAGGCCGAAGATCTTGATGCTCTCGTCGTTGTTGGCCACGAACAGCCGCACCTGGCCGCTGGCGTCCCGCGCAAAGTGCAGCGCGTTGTTCACCGAGCCGCCGCAGTCGCCCTTGTACGCAATCTCGCCGCTGCCCAGCGCCCGCACGTCCAGCTGGCTGGTCTGGCCCCCCCGCCGCGATGTAGCCGTACCGCACCGCCAGGGAGGTGGGCTCGAAGTGCAGGTCCTGCACCAGCACCCTCTGGGGTGTTTGATGGGAAGAAAAGAAGGATGGGGAGGGGTGTGAGAAATTATTCTGGAGTGGGGCAGTGTGTCCACTGCACAGCCAGAGGCGCTGAGCCTGGGCTGCAGATGTCAAGAGATGCAGTGGGACTGGGCGCGGTGTCCCATGGATGGAGGATGCACAGTCGCAAAGGTTCACATGCTTGAGCCGGCTGCTCCAGCCGGTGCAGAGACACGCCTCACCGACCCACCGGCGTCGATGTTGGATGAGCCGTCCAGAGGATCAAACACCACGATGTAGTCCCCGGAGTAGGAGCCCTCCACTGACACCGGCACATCCTCCTCCTCAGATGCCAGCGTTCCGATGCGGCCCCTGGACACATGCGTGGGTATTCATGCGCTGGCATGAGGATGGGGCCACGCAAGGGGGCGCCCTGCCTCTGGAGGCACGGCCCCCCAGCTGGAGGTAGACACCCGTCCTGAACCATCAAGGGCGCCGAGAGCCTTGCACCCCAGGCCCATTACTCATCAGAAGTTCCCGACTCACGTGGATCTCAGGCAGTTTGCAAAAACATCGTTGGCCACGACATCCAGCTTCTTCTGATCCTCCCCAGACTGATTGGCAGCGCCAGCCAGCCCCGTCAGGTTGCTGATCCCCGCCCGGTTGACCAGGGACGCGATCTGCTTGCAGGCCAGGGCGATGGAGGAGATGACGATGGCCACCTCCGAGTCGATCACCTCCCGCTTCTCCTGCTCCAGCAGCCAGGTGGTGAGCGTGAAGAGGCGGCCCACGGTGAAGGGGCTGGCGTCCTTGGTGCTGCCCGCGGTCTCCCTCTCAGACAGCTTGGAGGTGCCGTTGACGGAGAAGGACCTCGGGCGCTGGTGCTTGGACGGGCGGGCGGGACCCCTGAGGGAGGGTGTGGGGATATGGGGTCTGGCTAGGACTCGTGTACCCTGGCAATGATGGCGCAGCCGGGAAGGCACTGCGCACGCAGCGAGGATGCATCCATGCAACGAGAGTAGCAGCTTGAAAAAGATTCGATATCCTCGTGCACGTACCGCTGCGTGCATGGCGAAGCCCTGTGGGCTGGGCGAGGGGGAGTGCTGGAGAAGCAACGCCCTGCGTGCATTTTCGCCTCTGCCGTCACCATGGAAACCCGCGACATGCCCGAAACCGTCATTTTTGCTCAATACGGTATTGTAAGTGACACGCTCTGCGAGTGTTGCCCCTTGCCGCTGTTGTACTCGGCGATACCGATCAGCATGATCCTCATGCGGGCGCGCCACTCACAGGTGTCTCGGCAGAGAGCGCGGAATCAACACAATGCGGCATTCCCCCACCCATCACCACCACCACCACCACCACCACCTTTTCGTCAGGGGTACACTTGAGCGTGTAGTGCCTGTTGGTGCAGTACAGCTCATGCTCACGCTCGGGGCAGTGCAGCAGGTCCCGCAGCTGCCAATGCTGGATGGTAGACGGGAACGCTGGAGGGGGAGGGGGGACGGGGGGTTCAGGGGCACATGCGAGGCCTCCCAAGGTTGACATTCACGCGATGTACTTCCCCATGCAACACGCATTACATCCATGAAATTCATACACACGCAGCAGGGTACAGCGCATGCGCCCTCCGGTCACCCAGCCGCGAAGGTCCTCACCTATGGTGCGGTCCGGGGTGCACAGCTCCCCCGCGGGGGCCATGTCCCGAGTAATCGTCATGCGCGACCGCCCTCCTCCCCACTCGAGGGTATGGTGGTATCTCAATTGAAGCGGGTGCCTTCGAGACGAAGGGGCGTGGCCTATGGCGGGCCTTCCTTCCCCTCGGGTTCCCCTGCCCTCGGACCAGGGCGACAGGTTCACCTCCGTGTCGGGAACAAATCCCCTCCAAGATAAAAACCCATCAGCGCTTGGTGCAAACTCGACCATCGGGGAGGGTTTCAGGCTGCTCGAGACGACATCGGGGGGACCGCCTCTCCGAGAAAACATCATGGGTGTTGACATGGCAGCAGATCCTGACACGATCATCGCTGTGAAGGGCTCCTTGATACCCTTGAAGAGAGTGGCAAGTCCTCCCTCACCGGCATTTGTTCTATCAAGATGTACACACCGTATGATGTTTAGTCCAGATTTGGAAGGAAAACACCTAGCTGGGGGCCAAACACTGGAGGCAGGGACAGACCAGTCTAGTGCGATCGGTACCCCTTCTTCGCTGTCTTCCTGGTGGCCTTGAGCGCGAGGGGCGCCGCCTGTCCTGTTCCCTCGGCCTTGGGACCCCCACCGGCGGCCTTCCTGGGTGGTGCAAGCTGGTCCTCCCTCACCCGCTCCACCACCCCGTGCCGGAACTCCACTGGCTGGATGTCCACACCCAGCCGCTTGCCAAAGCGCTGGACCACGTAGGATTGGCCTCCAGACACGAGAGACACCACCACGCCCGAGCGCCCGGCTCTGTGAGGGATGATTGGGGGGGGAGAGGGTATGGGTCAGACATGGGAGGGTGTTGCTGGGGAGGTGGGCTACTTGATGGCTGGGACACAAGGACATGAGCTTGTGAAGCATTAGGCTCCTGGATCCTCAAAACCAAACCAAGACCAAAAGCACAGCAGGCCCCCTGGCCACCGCCTCTGGTCCCAGAACTCCTCTCTCGGCTACCCTCCTCTCAAAATCTCAACCCCCAAAATTCACCAGCGCCTCACCGCGCGGTGCGCCCCGCGCGGTGCGCGTAGTGGCTGGCGTCGGTGGGCAGCTCCAGGTTGAAGACCGCGTCGCAGTCCGGGATGTCCAGGCCGCGCGCCGCGACATCGGACACCAGCAGCGCGCGGAAGCGCCCCGCGGTGAAGGCGGCCAGCGTGGCCTGGCGCTCCTGCTTGCTCAGCTCGCCGTGCAGCGAGGCGGCGGGCATGCCGCGCGCCTCCAGCTTGCCCTGCACGTCGCGCAGCCGGTCCTGGAAGTTCATGAAGACCAGCGCGCGCTGCGCGTCCAGCGCGTGGATGCCGCGGCGCAGCGTGTCGGCCGCGTGGTGCGGCGCGGTGCCCGCCACGAGGTGCACCAGCCCCGGCGGCAGCACGGGCGCAGGCGCGCCCAGGCCCGTGCCCACGCCGCCCGCGCTGCTGCCCGGGCTGGCGGCCGCGGCGCGCCGCCCCCAGCCCCAGCCGGGCGCCGGGGAGGCTGTGGCCTCGCGGTGCCCGACGTCTGAGGATGATTCGCCGATCACGTCATCCTCCGGCACCTGGGTCCGGCCTTGGCCCGTGAGCAGGGGCACCGGGTCGCGGCACCAGGTGGCCGCCAGGGCCAGGTTGGTGGGGTTGAGCGTCGCCGACACCAGCACCGTCTGCCGCCCAGCGGCCAGGCCCCGGCCCACGTGGTCCGCCAGGCGGCCCACGTCCTGGCTGAACTGGGGGGCCAGCAGCTGGTCGGCCTCGTCCAGCACCAGGATGCCCGTGCTGCGTGGGGTCGGAAAGGGTGAGCAGGAATTGCAGATGAGGGGGGGGGGTGGAGCGGATGGGACTTTAAAGGATAGTGGGAGGCTACTGGGACATGTTTGAATCTTGATGTCCTGGGCCAGCACCCTTGCACACCACACATGGTGTCGTGCATTCAATGGCTGCAGTGCAGCGCCCTTGCTTGGAGACAACTGGAACAGGAGCTCCTGGCTCATCCATTTGTTAAGCTTGCTTTCAACCATTTGACACCCCCTGCCTTTACGCGCCACCCCCTTCCCCCCAAAAGGGGCCTTACTGATGTGTCTGGAGGGCGCCCGCGCGCGAGAGCTCCGCCAGGCGGCCCGGCGTGCCCACCACGAGCCAGGGACGGTGCTCCTTCAGCGCTTCCTGCTGCCGCCACGTGCTGGCGCCGCCTAAGAGGAAAGCAGAGTGCGAAGGGGCGGAGCGGGAGGGGATGCTTTTACGAAAACATGCGGTCTGCCAGGCGCGAAATCTACTGGAGCTTACTCATACCAAGCCCCACCCAACCCTCAACCCCGTCCCACCTATGCACTGCTGCACCCGGCGCCGCTGGTCGGGGTCGAAGAAGGACTGCGCGACGCGCACGATCTGCATGGCGAGCTCGTGCGAGGGCGCGACCACGATGGCAGCGGGGCCGTCGGTAGCCTTGCTTCCCCGCGCCCGGGAGCCAGGCGCCCGTGAACCCTCGGCCTGCCGCCGCGAGATCAGGGTCAAGATGGGGAGCAGGTAGGCCAGAGTCTTCCCGCTCCCAGTGTAGCTCTGGATGGCCGCATTGCGACCGGAGAGGAGGACGGGGATGGCCGAGATCTGCACTTCGCTGGGCTCAGAGATGCGGCAAGCCTCCAGCCCCGGCTGTGGAGTGGCGCAAGCGAGAAAGGGCGGTCAGGGGGGGTCCCAGAGCGTGACATTCTAGATGTTTTGCAGATGCAAATGGAATGCGACGCATCCCCTGGGGTTGGAGGAGCAGGGGCTGTGGCCGTATGACAGCCATGGAACAGCGATGTTCCACTAAACAGTCAAGTATCACCTAAAGTCACGAGCCCACTCCACACAGAAAGCGAGTACTGCCCACCAGGAATGAAGGTTCGATCCCGAGGGCGGTGAAAGGGTTGGCAGGACGCTCAGGCTGCCCTGCAGAGGTGGGTTTGGATCCACCGTCCAGTGCCCTGGTGGCAAGAGCCCGGGCCCGGGGTGGGATCCGCGCCTCATAGCTATGGGCTCGGGGGAGGGGCTTCTGGAAACTGAGATTTCTCAGGTACCTGCCTCCATGCGGGGCTGAGAATGGGACGGAAAGGCAACGCACTTTCGCCAGGAGTTGCTGAGGGGACGCCATGCCCGTCACGACTGCGTGGAAAAGGACGCTCAAATGGAAAAAATTGCCATGCTAATGACCTCGTATATGTATGAATATAATTCCTGGCGAACTGCATCGGAATGATGTTCTATTGGAAGACGTCGCAGCAATTATATCTTCAGGGTCCGACCATCGCGCGCGCAGGGGCAAGGTTGCATGGCCAAACCTGCAGATCACTTAAAGTAACTCGAGAAGGTACAGCGTGCACCGCCTCCAATGTCTTTGGACGATCATCATGGCCGCACCCGTGTCTCAACGCGTATCAAGTCAGGGTTGTTCCAGTGAGATCCACCGTGGTCGTTCGACCTTCGCTCAAGCTGGCACTGTCAATGCACACAGGTCTTACATAGTTGATAGACACCGCAATACCCAATGCTCTGCCAAAATACAAAGAAAAGAAGTGGCATTGTACGACTACTGGGACCGGATCGTTCCATATGAGCAGGTACGTTTGTAGGGGGTGCTAGTGCCGATTCCGTGCTTTGGGAGTTGCATGGCCCTGTCATTGCCCAATCCCGGCCCCACTCAGCCCCCCTTTGCACGCTCATCAGGCCTGGAGTCTCCAGCATCGGCTCCTAGAGGAAGTACAGGCAGGCATGCACGGCGTGGGTGCGGTCATCCTACTTCAGCATAGTCCAGTCTACACCCTAGGCGCCGGATCCACGATAGACCACCTGAGGTTTGACCCTTCCAACCCTCCTCATCCCCTCTTCCGGACCGAGAGGGGTGGTGAGGTGCGCTGACATTGGGTCGTGTGTCATGGTTTGTGCTTGTGCTGTGGGTTTGCTGTGACTGTCTGGTTTGCGAGGTATGGGTGAACCTTGAGAGGCGCAAAGGCTTGTGTGATCACCCCAGTCTCCAACGCTGGTCACTTTTCCTTACGGCCCAGGTGACATACCACGGCCCCGGTCAGCTCGTCATGTACCCCATCCTGGACCTGAAGCAGCTGACCCAGGATCTGCACTGGTACCTGCGCAGCCTGGAGGAGGTAGCCATCAGGTGGGTTGCAGGAAGAACCACATGTGCGATGCCCTATAAAGTGGCAACTTTTATTGCATTGCTGACCACACTCGTTGTGCAGAGTCTTGCACATCGTCAGTACCGAGGAGAACCCCACGTTCGGCCCCATACCAGGGCCCTGGAGGCGGTCTCTGGCATAGAGGGCAAGCGGGAGCCTGGACGCACAGGGGTCTGGGTGGATGGCCGGAAGCTGGCAGCCATAGGTGTGAGAGCGCGGCGCTGGGTGACGTGCCATGGACTCGCCCTCAATGTGGCGCCGGACCTTGGGCCCTTCAGCTCCATCGTTCCCTGTGGCATCGCTGGCCGGGAGGTGGGATCGGTATGGGAAGCCAGCCGAGAGGCGGAGGACGACCGCCAGGACAGCAGCATCCAAGCACAGCAGGCCCAGCTGCTGCGAGAGTATGCTGTGGCCCTTCTGGAGGCAGCAGAAGATGTGTTTGTGATGCGACTCGTGCCGGGAGAGGAGCCCTTGAAGGCCCTGACTGCCCCTGTTTGGTTGGAGGAATGCCGGATGGGAAAGTGCTGACTAATCTAATCAGTGTCGGAGGCGAGATCGGGCCGCGCAGCGGCTTTGCTCTGCACAGGCCGCGTCTAGGTAGTGTTTGGCATGCCATTCCCGTATCCGAAAAGGGTCTACGCCTCTCGCACATCTGATCGAAGTTAGGCCAGGATATTGATCGAGGTCTACTTCCCACTCAGGTGATCTTGATGGCGGGTCTGCTGCGGCAGTGTCTCCGACACACCCCAAAGGCCCTGCCTCGATCCCTGGCCCTGGGATACTGGCATAAGCACGTACTTCATGTGCCGAGCCAAGCTGCATGTGCTGGCGCAGGTCGGAATCTGTCGGGTCCTGGCCGGCTTGACAAAGGTGTTGTCAGGGGGCACAGCATCATGCCCTCCCAACCGGCGGTCGATGAAGGCTGGGATGCCCTACTGGGATCCTTCTCCAACCTTCTCGGAGAGGTTGATGAGGCCGGTGTGGCGACCCTGACCCTCAATCGGCCCAAGCAGCTGAATGCCCTGAACTCAGAGGTGACCTTGAGGTGGTGAAGGTGGGATGGTGGTCTACTACTCAGTCGTGTCCAGGCTACCCAGCCAGCCCATTTACATGTGAGCAAGGCTACCTGCAGTTCCCATTTCTCCATGCCACAATCTTGCAGCTCATGGGAGAGCTTGTCGCGGCCTGCCAATACCTGGATCGCAAGCACCCCTCCGCACGCGTCATCATTGTGACTGGGTCAGGCTCCAAGGCGTTCGCCGCCGGCGCCGACATCAAGGAGATGTCCAGCGTCACATACAGCGAGGTAGGGCGGGGTTGATGGCTGAAAGAGCAAATTGTGGGCTGGGATCAATCATTTAAGCAATCTGTGCATCGTCACCCCTAGCAATTCTTCCCCGGTGTGACCCTACTTTCCCCCGCTGCCCACCCCAACCCCTCCATCCCAGGCGTACAACAAGGGCCTGCTGGACGGCTGGGAGACCCTGCGTACCATCCGCAAGCCCATCATTGCCGCAGTGAACGGCTTTGCCCTGGGCGGAGGTTGCGAGCTGGCCATGCTGGCTGACATCATCATTGCCGCAGACTCAGCATCTTTTGGCCAGGTGGGTGTCGACGTGGTCCGCCTGCTTTGACCCATCATGGGCCAGATTTTACCTCCCCTCCCCGCTGCGCGCTTCTCACGTCTACCCCCTCCCCCTCGTTGCCCGCTGCCACAGCCGGAGATCAACCTCGGGGTCCTGCCGGGAATGGGGGGCACCCAGCGTTTGACCCGGGCCGTGGGCAAGAGCCGGGCCATGGAGCTCGTGTTGACCGGGGACCGGCTGAGTGCGGCAGAGGCGGTCTCCCTGGGGCTGGCCAGCCGGGCCGTGCCTGCCGCGGAGCTAATGGAAACCACGCAGAAGCTGGCGAGGCGCATCGCAGCGGCCAGCCTGCCTGTGGCCGCAAAGGCCAAGGAGTGTGTGAACCAGGCGTACGAAATGACGCTCGCAGGTATTTAGGTGGGACTGGGAAAGGCATGAGGATGTCTTGATTGAGCAATGCCTTATTCTGTGAGACTTGGCTTTTGCCTTTACTTGATTGGTAAAAGTGATAACCACCCCTTCGCCGCCAGATTCGACCCTCACCATCATGCCATCCCGACGTAGAGGGCGTAAGATTCGAGAAGCGGGAATTCTGGAGCTGCTTTGCCTTGGCAGACCAGAAGGAGGGCATGGCGGCGTTCATCGAGAAGCGCACCCCAGTCTTTGGCGACTCTTGAATGCGACCCGGACCTCATTGGAAAGACATGTAGAGTGGTCCTGAGCCCAGATTTGACGGCCCACGCTGTGCTGGCAAAGCAGCATCGAATGAACTCACTTTGAAATCCTGCACAGCTTTTCACCATGGCTGTAAAGCAAACCGCTGTTTCACCATTCAGATTCACTCACTGCGTCTCCTTTAAAAAATTAAGCAGAAACTCCTTCCAATGGACCCCCCGGTGACTCTGGTGTTCATCTGAACTGATGATGTCTCCATCCAGGGCTCACAGATGCCGCCGGCAAATCTGTGAGTATACAAGTACAACGAGCCTGTTCCAAGGTGCCGAAATCCCTAAAGGGAAAGGACATACACATCACTTGGCCAGTCGCCCCTGGCTCATCCTCCCCCCCACGACGTTGTTGACCGGCATCTTGGCAGCGCGCTTAGGCGCCGCGGCCGCCGCAGCCGCCGCGTCGGGCGTGTACCGCAGTGGCTCGATGACGACGCCCGCGTCCTTGACCACGGCGGGGCGCGTGAGATCGCGGAAGGAGGCGTCGGTGTTGTACTCCTTGCCCAGGGGTTGGCGGCGTGCGCGCTCGTAGGTCTCCTTGGAGTCGTAGGGAAAGGGCAGCGTGGCGGTGCGGTACTTGGCCGCCGCCTTGTCCCAGCGCTCGGAGAGGATGACGTACTGCATCTTGGCGTCCTTGCGCGCGGCCGCCGCCGCGGCGCGCTGCCTGCAACTCAGGGGTTGAAGGTTGGGGTTGGGGAGTGCTCGATGAGAGAGAGTGCAGTCCAGGGCTCAGCTCCCGCAGGCCCCTCCCTTGCCTTTGTATCTTGAAGCCTGGACCAGGGACAGGCACACGCTTAGGTCGCAGACCCAGAGCAAACACTCCCACCCACCCAGACGCCCACTCACTGTTCTGCCTTGCGTCGGGCGGCAGCCATCCACGCGGGCTCGCGCTGGGCCCCCGCCCAGTTGCCCCAGCCGGGCAGGGTCCCGACTCCTTCCACTTTAGGCAGCTCGGCCTCCACCTCCGAGGCCTTTTCCGCGGCAAACTCCGCCGCCACGTCATCGTTGGCAAAGGCCATGCGGATGAGGTCGTCCTGGGTGTAGGCGGCCGCGCTCTGCAATCCACATAGGAAGCGGGTGAGGAAGGGGTGGGCGAGCGGGTCCAGCAATGCCAGGTGCTCTCCTCCGACAACCCACCTGACACTCCAGCCCTCCCCGCGCTACGCACCTCAGCAGGCTTCAAGCTGTCATCCCCCAGCTCTGCTTCTTGCGCCGCCCTCCCTGCATCGCCGCTCCTCGCTTTCTTCGTGGGCCCAGTCTGCTGCCCCTGCTGCCGCTTCTGCTGCACCTGGCCCTTTGCTTTGGGTGCCGGCACCTCTCCTGCTGCGTCGATGTAATAGCCCACGCCCTGCGGGCCCTTCTTGAAGGTGTACCCCTTCCTGGCGCCAGCAAAAGACCCCGACGGCAGGAAAGTCTTGGCCGCCGCAGACGTGCTGGGGGCAAAGAGGTCGTCGCGCTCCACTGCGGGGCGCGTGGATGCCCGGCCGGCGCCCGCGGCCACGGCCACAAACCCCGCGGAGGAGTGTTGTCTGGGCTGTGCCGACCCAGCGGCGGGCGGGTCGCCGCCGCCGCCCCCTGCCCGTCCCTGGACCGTCGCCGGCTCCCGCACATCCGCGGTCTCCGCCGCGGCCTGGGCCACTCCCTCCTCGCGTCGCTCGGCGCTGAGGTGGCGGGCCAGGCGCGCCGCCTTGGCCTCCACGTCCTCATCCTCGTCAGACTCCAGGTCGCTGTCCTCCCCGGCGGCGATCGCTGCCACCGGGCGCACGGAAGCCGCCGCCGCGCCGCCGTCGCCGCTGAACTGCAGGCGGCCGGAGGTGCGCGCCCGGCCCTCGGCCTTGCGTCCCTCCTCCTCCGCCAGCACGCGCTCGGCGGCCTGTAACGCGGCGGCGCGCTGCTTCTCCCGCGCCCGCTTCATGAAGGGCAGGGCCAGCAGGCCGCCCGCCTCGGCGCCCGCCTCGTCCCCGCCGCCCTCCAGGATGTCCAGCGCCGTACGGTGCAGCTTGGACCGCCGTGCCGGCCGACCCTCCCCGCCTTCCTCCTCGCTGTCCTCCTCCTCGTCGCTGGCAGAGGTGGAGACATCGCTGCCGTCGGCGCCGCCGCGGTCGGGTCGCTCCACCTTGCGCCGCAGCTCCTGGCCCAGCTGGAGCTGTTCGGCCAGCGCCGCGCGCGTCGCGTCGTCGGTCAGGTTGGCGCCGCGCTTGAGCGCGCGCCGCGCCCAGCGCGAGGTGTTCCGATGCTTCAGCGTCAGCCGCTCCTGCGGGTGAGGGATCAGAGGGGGGGGATTACCGACTGTGCATTTATGAGAGGATGGGGAAGCTTTGGGAGGGTATGCACGACATAGTGCTCAAACATGACGGGGCCATTCTCGGCTCACAACCATGATCAAGCGTAGGATGAAAGGTAGAGGAGGGCATGCAACGAGCACAGCAGCGCAATGCAGGACAGTGCACCACTCAAGACACTTGCGCGTGGGTCATCACCCGTTCTCACACATTCTCATGCGCCTTCGCATGCACACACCACCCTTGCCACTGCCACCAAGCCCGCCACCGACCTTGGCACGGGCAAATTCGGCCTCCTCGGCAGCGACCAGCGCCTCGGCGGCGTCGCCGCCCTCCTCCGCCCCCAACTTGTCGGCCTTGCGCCGGTCGGCGCGTTTCATCTGGCGCCGGTACTCCTTGCTCTTGATCTTCTTCAGCCGTTTGGCCTTGGCCTCGTGGTAGTACAGCAGCGCCCGGGTCTTGGCCAGCCGGTTCTGGCGCTCCCTCAGCTCCTCGATGGTCAGCTCCTATGGGGTGGCTCGGTAGGAATGTATGGATCAGTCAGGGGGCCAGGCATCTTGCCAGGACCGCATCCCAGCCGCCCCACGCCACCATAATCTGGTACAACAACCGCCGCGCCCCTCACCCGCGCCGCCAGCGCCTGCTCCGACTCGGCCAGCGCGCGGTCCGAGTGGGCGCCGGCGCGCGCCAGCATTGCCGCCACCTCGGCCTCCATACCGGTCACGGGCGCGTGCTTGTCCACCAGCCCGGCAACGGTGGTGGTGGTGTGCACTGCGGCCTTGTCCGACGTGAAGTGGATGGTGGGGGCCGCGGCGTTGGCCTTCACCAGCGGGCGCCACTTGCTGACGTCCTTGCTGGCCGCCTCATACCTGGGAGCGGGTAAGGTTGGGGGGGGCATCAGACCGCGGCGGATAGGTTTCCCTTGGGGCCTGGGCCTCAAACTGCTGTCAGCAAGGCTTCAACTCACACCAGGACCCAACTTCTCCTCTCCTCCTCCTGAGACCGATTTCACCCCAGCTGCTCATTCTAGGGCCAGCATGGACCCTGTCCAGCCTACTGATACTTCTTCCTACTCCCACTTGTCCCTCACCCCGCCTTGCGCTCCAGACGCTGCCGGATGAGACCCGGCAGCGGCGGCGCCACGGCCGACTCCTTGGCCTCCATGCGCAGCAGGGTCTTGCGGGCCTTGCCCAGCTTGGTCTGGGCGTTGCCTAGGCCCTGTAGCAGGTCGCTGACAGAGAGATCACCTACATAAATGAATGGAGGGGGGCCATGGGTGGAGGCCGCGAGTGTCCCATTGCATCGCAGGGCTAGCGATTTAAGGCAGTTGGGCGGGGTCCGACAATGCTGTCTGGATTATGTGGAAAGGAAGGCATGCACATCAAGCCTTCCTCGGATGCCCAAAGAAACATCCAATGCAGACAGCAGCGCATGAAGAGAGGGCCGCGAATGGCACGTTGCCCTGTATCCTAAATCATCCCCAGCGCACACTCCTGTCCTGTCACACAGTCACCTGCATTGGGCATGTTGTGCTCGGCCTCCGGGTAGGCCTCAGTCACAACGGCGCGGCGCTCCTTCCTCCCTTTCTTGCCGGGGGCGCCCTCGGTGACTGCTGCCAGGAGGGCGGCGTGGGCGGTGTCATCCTCCTCATCCTCTTGCCCGCTCCCAGACCCACTGCCGCGGGCAGTGCCAGCTTCTACGTCGTCATCAGACTCCTTGCCCTCCTCCTGAAAAGGGGATGGAGAGCACTGGGGTAATGATTTACACGACCCCAGTCACTCCTTCTGGAAATTGCCATTGCAGGCACCAAGGGCTTCGTGGGGTGTACCTTGATACACAAAGATACCAACACTGAATCACGAGACCCAGGGATGTACACATTACCAAGAGCAATCCCCACACGTAACAAATTCCTCCAGTTCCAGTCCATGACAAGCCCTCACCAACTCCACCCACCTCGGAGGAAGACGCATCAAACACATCGTCGAGCTCGTGCCCGCTCTGAGCATCCTCTTCGTCGCTGTCAAGATTGATGTCGGCGTCAGAGCCATCGGCATCTGAGCCATCGTCAGTCGTCTCCCCCTCCTCCCCCTCCTCGCCACTGGGACCACCCTCGAACATGTGCCCATACAGTGCGTTATCCTCGGCTGCAGGAGGGTGAGCGAGGATGGCGTGTCATGCGGCATGCTGCCAAAGGGCCAGTGCCCAAACGCCTCTCTCTACTCCCTCAACCATGGGCAGAGGCGGGCATGAAGCATGCATACCCACCTGTAAAAGCTGTGTCCTCGTCAATCTCCTCATCCTCAAAGTCGGATGGCATTTCGTACTCATAGTTATCCACGCGCTGCACATCAAGAGGAGGGGAACCCGACGTTGGAGGGTGCCACCAGAGTGGCCAAGCAGAGCAGCAAAACTACTGTGACCATCTCTGGCCCTCACGTAGGTATTCCCTCACATCGTATTTGTTCTTGAGCCTCTCCTCTTCAGGCTCGCTATCCTCAGCCTCGAAGACGTCATTCTCAACCTCCCTTTCACGGTTGGACTTGGGCGGGGCGCGAGGCCCACGCCAATTCCCAGCCTTTGCCATCCTCAACGAGCCGTGGTGCCGGACTGCATGCACAGTTTGAGAGGTAATGGATGCAGAGCGACGCCAGGGGGACCGACTCCCAGGTCATTGTGCCGAACATATGGTAGCATGCGGGATGGTGCTCCGGGGTGTTGCGCGCGCTCTGCTTTCTGGCGGGAAACAATACTGCCCGAAACTCTCTCCGCGACAGCTCTGCTGGCTGGCAATGTCCCCTCTCATGTGCTCCAGAATTCCACGGCATGAGGCAACGGCGAAGATCGACGCTTTGATCTGTACCGTCCCGTGGGAATAGGAGTATCCCGCCTCTTCTCGCAGCAGCGTCGTACTTTTCAAAGTGACCATGGCTGTCAGCGGAGTCGGTGCTTGACGAGACGTTTTGGCACTTGTTCGACCGCCAGCATGGCATCTCACACCTCGCCACTCACGGTGAGTGGATTATTTTGATTACACTTGCTACCGCTCATCGTGCACTGTCCTCCGCGCCCGAGCTAGGGACCGAGCATCTACGCCGGCCCCTCTCCACGCACACTCCCCAGGCGCTGGTCGTGCCAGAGCCCTCGGATGCGGGCACACCGGGCTTCGGCTGGTCCTCCCCCTCCCCCTCCCAATCTTCCGGCGGGAATCACATCGAGTCCAGGGCCCAGAGGGCCGCCAGCAAGCGGAGGGCCGCCAGTGAGTGGATCGGGATGGCGCTGGGCGTCAGCGTCCCACACGAGACCGACCAGGCCTTCCGCCGCGCACTGGCCGACGGCGTCACCCTGTGCCGCCTGGTCAACTGGCTGCGCCCGGGGTCCATTCCCAAGGTACCTCAGGGCTGCTGTTGGTGTTGTGGCTGGGTGAGGGGATGATGGTGGGTCCTGCAGCCTGGTCCTGCCCATGCAGACGCCAGCACCGGGATGCGGATCCTATGTCTGTCATAAAGGGCTCTATTTTGGGTATACATCCTTATCTTGGTGCCAACCCCCTTCACCACCCCCATCTCCCCAACACACACCCTCTCAAGGTCGTGGAGGCCATGCCCGACGGCTCCGGCACCCCCTCCCATGCCACCGGGGATGTGATCCAGACCTTCGAGAACGTGACCAACTTCATCCGCGTCGCGCGCGACCTGACGGGGGAGACCTTCAGCGCGCGTGACTTGGAGGAGGGCGGGGAGGAGCGCCCCGGCGTGGCCGGCTGCATCCTGGGACTGCGGGACCTGGCCGCGGGGCGCACGCCCCCCGGACCCCGGTCCTCCCCCGGCCCCTGGAGCACGCCCGGGGGGCAGGGCCTGCCACCCCTGCCCTCCCCCGCCTCGGGCGCCCGCGCCTCCGCCGGTGCGGGCCCTGGCCAGGCAGCGCCTCGCCCGACCCCGCCCCCCCGCCCCGGCTTCAGCTTCACGCCGGCCGCCGCGCAGCTGGTGGCCAAGCACGGCCTGGCCGCGGCGGCGGCCGACGCGCCCGACGGGCTGAACCACCTCATGCGCTCCTGCACCCACATGCTGCGCAGCCGCATGGGCCTCGGCGCCTCCTCGCCGGCGCCCGACGCTGGGCCGCGACGGGGCGACGAGGCCGAGGCCGGCAGCACTCAGGCGCCGGTCCCCGCCTACGCGCTGGACGCGGTGGGGCCCGTGCTGGAGAGCGTGCTCAGCAACCTGACCTCCGAGTACGAGAAGCGGCTGCTGGCCAAGGACCAGGAGTTCAAGCTGGCGCAGGAGGCGCAGGAGCGCATGCGCCGCCAGATCACGCGCCTGCAGGCGGAGATGGGCGGCTGGCGCGCGCAGGCGCAGGAGGCGAGGGAGGCGCAGGCGCGGGCGGCGAGCGCGCGCGAGGGCCCCGCCGCGCCGGACACCGCCGGCGCGGGGATCGCGCGCGAGGCCGCCGCCATGGACCGGGCGGAGCTGGAGGCGGCGCGCGCGGACGTGGAGGCGGCGCGTGCGGAGGCGGCTACGACCGCGGCGCGGCTGGCGGAGGCGGAGGCCGCGTTGCTCGGCGCACAGGCAGCTGCCTCGGCGCGCGCTGCGGCCGCCGAGGCCGAGCTGGCCGGGCTGCGGGACAGACTGGCGGCCTTCGAGGGCCTGCAGGCGCGGTACGACGCCGTGGCGGCGCAGAACCGCGCGCTGTACAACGCGGTGCAGGACGCGCGCGGCGCGCTGCGCGTGTACTGCCGCGTGCGTCCCGCCGGCGCCACCGGCGACGCCGGGGCGAGCGTGGTGGAGCCGGGCCCCGACGGCGCGCTGGGCGTGTACTCCGCGCGCCACGGCCGCTGGCACCACTTCCGCTTCGACGCGGTGTTTGGGCAGTCCGCCGACCAGGAGGAGGTGTACGCCGAGACCGCGCCCCTGGTCCGCTCCGTCCTGGACGGCTACAACGTCTGCATCTTTGCCTACGGCCAGACCGGGTCGGGGAAGACACACACCATGTCAGGGACGGACGTGGGCCGCTTGTCGGGCCGCGGCGTCAACTACCGCACCCTGGACGACCTGTTCGCGCTGCGCACGGAGCGCGCCGCCGATGCGCGCTACGCCATCCGCGTGCAGCTGCTGGAGATCTACAACGAGACCCTGCGCGACCTGCTGGTGGAGGGCGCGGCGGCCGGGGGACAGGCGCGCAGCCTGGCCCTGAACAACACCGCGCGCTCGGGGGTCAACGTCCCCGACGCCACGCAGGTGGGCGGGGGGGGGCGTGTGTGGACAGGGGTGGTGATGAAGGGAAGGGGGGGGTGACCTTGAGCCCGGCAGGCAAGGGGACGGAGCGAGCCGGAGCGAATCCAGTAGCGCAATCTTCGCCAGCAGCTGGTGTGGCACCCTGGACTCCTCGACGGACTCCCAAATCATCCACAACCTCCCCCGCACCCAAGGTCACGGTGGAGTGCACGGAGGACGTGCTGCGGGTGATGGAGCTGGGGGCACGCAACCGTGCGGTGGCCGAGACGAGGATGAACGAGCGCAGCAGCCGCTCGCACCAGGGTCAGTGGGGAGTTGGGACGTGACGTGCAGAGGGGGCGGGGGAGGGCTGTGCGAGGGGGGAGAGGCTTGCGATGGCAGGGAGGCTGCGTGCGGCAGTAGAGAGTCCGCCCATGCCGGCGCCAGGATGGGATGGCTGCTGGATCATCGCAGGCGCCGCGAACCGACCCTGCATCCCCTTCCTTTCCCTCCCCCCGATACAAATCCTTCAAACAGTGCTGACCATCCTGGTGGAGGGCGAGGGCCTGAACACCCGCGCACGCACCCACGCCTGCCTCCACCTCATCGACCTGGCCGGGTCGGAGCGCATCGGGAAGAGCGGCGCGGAGGGCCAGCAGCTGGTGGAGGCGCAGCACATCAACAAGTCCCTGTCCGCCCTGGGTGGGTTGAGAAGGTGGTGCGGGAGTGGGGCCGGGTGGAGACGGTGCAGGCGTGGGGCCGACAGACAGGCTGATGCAGCGCCTCGACCGTGCAGCGCTGCGCCTGGCATGCCGGCGGCCTGTCCTGAGGCTCCTGCCGGCCGACCTGCACGCTGAGCGATGGGCTGTGCAAGGCTTGCTCGCCCTTGTTTGGTGGCATTCCGGTCCCCTCAAACCCACCACCCCCTCTTTCCTCCCTCTCCCTGAAACAGGCAACGTAATGCACGCCCTGGCCTCCAAGTCGGCCCACATCCCCTTCCGCGACTCCAAACTGACACAGCTGCTCCAGGACTCCCTGGCGGGCCAGGCCAAGACCATGATGTTTGTGCACGTGGCGCCTGAGGTGGGTGGCGGCGAGGAGGTTGGGTGGGGTGGATGGGGCCAGCACAGCAAGGAGGAGGGAGCGAGGCGCTGGGGATGCTCCCCCGCGCGCCCAGCACCTCGTGATGCTGAGTGCGTGTGGCCAGGCATGGCGCTGGGGATGGCTTCTCACTGGGACGTTCGCGCCGGCTTCGAGCCCAAACTCCACTGCGCAGGCCTCCAGCCTGAGCGAGACGCTGTCCACGCTGAACTTCGGCAAGGGCGTGACGGAGATCACGCTGGGCGCGGCCAGGAAGAACACGGAGCCGGGCGCGGTGTTCGAGGCGCGGGACGCGGCGGGTCGGCACGAGCGCGAGGCCGCCGCCGCACGCGTCGCGCTGGCCGAGCGCTCCGCGCGCTGCCAGGAGTTGGAGGGCGAGGTGGAGGCGCTGCACCTGGCCCTGGCCGCCGCCAACCGCATGGCGGCGGAGGGCAGGGCGGCGGCCGCGGCGGAGCGGTCTGGAGGGGAGGGCGCCGGCGGCATCCCCGCCTTCCGCCCCGCGACGGGGGAAGCTCCGGCGGGGTGTCGGGCCGCCGAGGCGGGGCCGGGCGCCGCGCCGGTCCTTGCAGGAGAGCCTGGCTCCGCACCGGTTCCCTCGGCGGCGCCGGGTCCGGCACGCACGGCAGCGTCCGCGCCGCCGCCGCCGGAGGGCCTCGGCAAGGCCGCCGCTGGCCGGATGCTGCCGGCCATGGCCAAGCTCAACCTGGGCGGGCTGATCGAGGGCGACGGGCTCCCCGGCCAGCCAGGCCTCGGGGCGATCCCCCCTCCTCGCCGGCGCAGGGGTGTGTGGGATTCGCTTGGGAAAGGGGGATTGGGGGCGGGGGCTGAGATTCTCTCAGCAGTGTGCGCTGCTGGGGGCGCTGCGTGGTGATGGCGTGGACCGGCCCAGGAAGTGAAGAGGGACGCGAGGGCTTCTGGACCTCACCACAAACCTCAGTCACACCCCCCACACAACCCCCCTCCCCATGCAGTCCCGCGTCAGCAGGATCCCCGGGCTGACGCCGCCGCCCGCGACGGCGCGCCCCGCCCGCTCCTCCCCCTCCAGCACCTCCAGCATCCCCCGGTGAGGGCGCCGACTGGGAACCCAAGTCGCCACAATCCGCGGCCTCTCTGCACTGAAATGTCACCCTTTCCGCCTTCATCGGCCCCTCAATGCAGTCCCATGTCGGCACGAGGCCAGTCTGGTGAGTCGCGCAGGGCCTCCCTCACGGGGGACGGCGGCCCCGGGCCCCTGCCCAGCAGCCGGTTGAGCTCTGGCCAAAGCGTGGCCCCCCGGGTGGACACGGGGCGCGGTGCCGGAGTCAGAGCGGCCCCAGGTGCTCCACTCGCTAGTCGCACGTCCAGTGGCGGCAGCGTGATGGCCCCGCTTTCCTCCCGGACCTCCAGCAGCCGACGCTGGGCTTGAGGGTTTTGAGGCCAAAGGACGCACGAGGCGTCTGACGCACGCTGTGGCGGCAGATGTGGCCTCGGTGGAAAGCCTGCCGGGGCCATGAGCGCTCGAGAAGCCTGTGTCGCCCTCCCCACTGGAGCCTGAAAGAACCGTTCCTCGACCCCACACCCGACCCCTCCCGACGCACGTCACCTCTTTCTGCGTTGTTGTCGATTGCACCCAGTAGCAGGGTGCATGCACATGCCGTGCATGGGCAGCCGGGCAGGATGAAATGCTGGGGTACCGGTGAGGAGCCATCAGCATGCCCATCCCAGGTTCCTCAGGACTCCCCCTGAAAGTCTAGATGGAGATGGTCTCGGTCTTGCCTTGGATGCTCACCAGCTCTGTCTCGAACACCAAAGTGGCGCCCCCTGGCGTTGCAAAAGGGGAGTGGTGGGCAGCACAGCACGCGGATGACTGGTTGTGAGCCGGTCATACAAGAAGAGCGGCAGGTGACGTCCCCTGAGAGCAGACCTGCAAGCACCTGCCTCCTTGTCCCCACCACTCACCCGGAATTACCCCGCCGGCACCTCGGGCACCGTAGCCGAGCTCAGGGGGAATGACCAGCTTACGCTTCTCGCCAATGCACATGCCTGTCGATGCGAAGGAGTGGATTCATGGAGGCAATAACGGTGAAGCAGAGCCGCGTGAAACGACGTCCGCCCCTTGAGCGCCATTGACTGACCGCTGCACAGCACGAGCTGCCCAATGCTCCCTCCTCACCTTCCACACCCTGGTCCCAGCCCTTGATCACTTGGCCGACACCCTGGTGAGGAGGGCATCAGAGCACGGGTTTCAGCTCCTGTTTTCCTCGAGCATGCCGCTCCATCTGTAGGAAGGAGACAGAATGCCAAATACAGTCACAAGGGCCCATCCTCACCAGCTTGAAGGAGATGGGCTGGCCCCGCTTGTAGCTGGAGTCGAACTCCGTGCCGTCGGCTTGCAGGGTGCCCTGCGCCCAGCTTACAGCGAGCGGTGAATAGAAGTACACCATGAATACTCGAAGAAATTCTGTCAAGGCATTCCCATCAGGAGACCCAATGGCTTACCCGGTAGTGCACCGACACGCCATCTCCCTTGGCAGCCTTGACAGCGCAAGACGGCGGGGTGTGCCTGCGATGGGAGTGTGAATGGTACGATAGGAGAAATAGGACTGATGCAGGCGCAAAACTTGCCCTCAGGCTAATCCCGGCTTACAGGGTGGTGATCTGCAGGTCCGAGGCCTTGGCTGTCATGGCCACAGCCAGGGCCAGCACGGTCGTGCACACCATGAGCCTTCCCATCATGATGATGATTTGACTAAGACTTTCGATTGGCAGGCGCTGTGGCGAGAAAAGGGCATTGTTTTTGCTCGAATCGGAGGGTGCTGAGGTGTCCCTTTTCCTGCCTTCCATTGACGACTGCACGGAGTCCTGCCACTCTCCTGATGGAATGGCGCCCACCCAGAGCACCCCTCCCACGACGACTCAAGCAGCCCGAGACTCCTCTCAATAATTAAAAGAATAGCTTTGCGACAGCGTCGTTTATAGAGCTCCGGCAGGAGGGTCTGTGGGGAGGATCCCTCTCCGCATCTCCCGATCCGATAAAACTTGTCGGAGTAGAGGGGGCCAGGAGGCTCGCGTGGATGTCGACCCACTAGCTAAGTATAGTGAACAGCGCATGCCCGCCGGCCTCATGGCGTCGGGCCTCCCGTACTGCTCCCCCGGTGAGGATGTGGTGTCGGAGTTCCTAGGGCTTGGCAGCGCGCCAGGGTCATGAATGTAGGGGTGGGATGAACACCCCGGCCCTGCTCGCGGCGTGGGAACAGACGGTGTCTTGACCCCGGCAGTGTCTTCATACTCTCACCCCACCCCCACCTGGACCGGTACAGATGCCGGCCTGGCCCCTGAGTGCTGCCTGGACGCCTGCGAGCCCGGCCTCGCCTGGCCGACGCCGTGCCCACCGCCCGCCAGCAAGGGCCCCCACCCCCCCTGGTCCAGCCTGCCCACGGACGTGATGGGCGCGGTGTGCGCGGGGCTGGCCCCGCGCGACCTGTGCTGTGCGCGGCTGGCCTGCCGCGCCTGGTCCGCGTCGCTGTCCCGCACCGTGGCCTCGCTGGCGCCGCGCACGCCGCGGCTCCAGGCGCTGGCCGCCCGCTTCCCCGCTCTGCAGGAGCTGGACCTGTCCCCCTGCCGCGCGGCGCTGGCCGACGCCGCGCTGCGCGCGCTGCGCGACATGCGCTGCCTGCGCGACCTGCGCCTGGACGGCTGCGCGGGCCTGACCGACGAGGCGCTGGGCCACGTGGCCGCCGCGCGCGGCCTGCGCAGCCTCAGCCTGGCGGGGCTCCCCCTCTCCGACCTGGGCCTGGCCGCGCTGGGGGCGGCGCGCCGCCGCGCTACCCGGCGGTGCACGCGCCGCCCCGCCCGCGCCCGCCGAGCCCGGCCCTGCTGCTCGGTTCGGCGCGCGCCTCGCCGCCGCGCCTGACGCGCACGCTGCCGGCGCCGCGCCCCCCGGGCGCCCTGCCCCTGCTGGTCAGCCTGGACCTGACGGGGTGTGCGGGGGTGAGTTGCCGCGGCCTGGCCGCGCTGGGACCCGCGCTGGGCCGCCTGCGCCACCTGCGCCTGGGCTCCTGCGGCGCGGGCGCCGCGGGCGAGGCCGACGCCGTGTTGCGCCTGCTGGGCTCCGCCTGCGCCCGCCTGACCGACCTGGACCTGGCGGGGTTTGCGCTCACCGGCGCAGGCCTCCTCGCGCTGGCGCCTCTGGGCGCCAGCCTGGAGACGCTGGGCCTGTGGAACTGCGCCACCGTGCCCGACGCCGAGCTGGGCGCGCTGGCCGCGCTGCCCAGGCTCGCCGACCTCTCGCTGCGCGGCTGGCACCAGCTGACCGACGCGGGGGCGGAGGCGCTGGGCGCGCTGCCCAGGCTCGTGCGCCTCGACCTCCGCGCCTGCGAGCAGCTGCGCGGCGAGGGCCTGGCCGCGCTGGCCGCCGCCGGCGGCCTGCACACCCTGGACCTGCGCCGCTGCCACGCGCTGACCGACGCGGGCGTGGCCGCGGTCGGGCGCCTGGCCTCCCTCCGCTCCCTCCTCCTGGACGGCTGCTGGCAGGTGACGGGCCCGGGGCTGGCCGGGCTGGCAGGCTTGAGGAACCTGGAGCGCCTGTCTCTGCAGGGCTGCCGCGGGGTCTACATGCCAGACGGCGGCGCACTGCCCGGGCTGGGCGCCTGCGCCGCGCTCCAGTCCCTCAGTCTGCGCCTGTGCGACCGCCTGGCGGGCGGCGCGCTGGGCTTCCTGGCCTCCCTCCCCGACCTCCGCTCGCTGGACCTCAGCAGCTGTCGCCTGCTCACCGGCGAGGACCTGGGCCCCCTGGCCGGCGCCGCCAAGCTCACCACCCTCCGCGCCGAGCACTGCCTGGGGCTGGAGGGCCGCAACGCGCTGGCCGCACTGGGCGCCTGCCCCGCCCTCCAGTCCCTCTTCCTCTGCGGCTGCCGCAAGCTGGATGGCGCCGCGCTGGGCGCGCTGCGCCCGCTGCGCGACCTGCGCCTCCTCTCCCTCCACGGCTGCCACGGCGTGCCCGGGCTGGATGCGGGGCTGGACGCCATGCTGGCCGCCGGGCCGCCCTCCCACCCGTGCCTGGCCACGCTCTCCCTGCAGGGCTGCGACAGCGTGTCCGACAAAGGGGTGGCGGCCCTGGGACGCCTCCCCGCGCTGCGCACGCTGCACCTCTCTGACTGCGCCGGGGTGGAGGGGCGCGGGTTCGGGGCCTGGGGCGCCGCCGGCGACGATGGCACCGCCCCCCCCCTCGCCGAACTCCACCTCCAGAACTGCGGCGCGGTGAGCGATGCGGGCGCTGCGGCCGTCGCGCGGCTGGCCTCGCTGCGCGAGCTGCGCCTCAAGGCCTGCCGCGCGCTGACGGAGCAGGGGCTGGCCAGCCTGGCCGCCGGGCTTTCCAACCTGACCACGCTGTCGCTGCAGAACATGACGCTGACGGACGGCGGCGTGCGGCCCCTGGCCCGCCTTGCCAAGCTGGAGTCCCTGGAGCTCCAGTTCTGTTGGCAGATCACCGACGCGGGTGGGTGGGTGGGTGGTTTGGGGTGGAGTGGGCGGCATAGGTGGGGTGGGGAAGATAGAGCAAGACGTTTAACTTATCTGGGACTGGGTCATACTGCATCTAGCTCAGGGTCTGCTCGCTTTCCGGGGATGTAGACACGGCAGTGCATGGTGCAGAGCAAAAGGCGACCGACTCCCCACTACCAAGCCACAGTTTCTCACTTTCCGTGCAACACCACAGGGGTCACGGCGCTGACGGTGCTGCAGGAGCTGACGCGGCTGGACCTGCTGTACAGCTGGCAGGTCACGGACAGCGTGCTGGCCGACCTGGCGGCCATGCCAAATCTGCGGCGCCTGAACCTGACGGGATGCCACCGCATCTCACGGGCGGGGCGGGAGTCCATCGCCCACCTGCTCCCCACCGATCGCCAGGAACTGTCCTGACGAGAGCCATGGCTCCTTAGGCAGGCAGAGGAGAGCGCACACATAGGAGGAATGCTGTTGCCCCCTTCTCCCAGTTGGCGCGCCTCCTCTTTACTGAGTGGGGAAGTGTGACAAGGTGACTATGTAGCCCCTAGGTAGCTTTCCTCATTGCATTTTCCCTGCACCCTGCTCCCCAGAGTCCATCTGACGACAGGTGACTGGGCACTGTTGCCTGCACCACACCCATCAAGGTGTGCGTGCTGACTTTTCCCATGACAAACGACAAGTGACGCATCACATACTTGCTTTACAGCCGGTGTCCTACACACCCTCTCCCCATTCTCGGCAACGCTGCCGTGCCTTGCATCAAACGAGCTGCCACACCATCATGTCCAGCAAACAGCCTGACAGACTCTGACAACGGTCATACTGGACCGCATTGCATGACCCCAGTGTCATCCCACTTGTAAACTGGACAAGCAGGGCCAGGTATTTGATATTTTAAAGCAACAGGGCTATCCCTGGGCGGCACCCTCCACGGTTCAAGAGGGACACTCAAATCTGGCGAGCAAGTCTCCCTGCGCCCCTCTGCACATCAAAATTCTATGATGAAACCGTTGCTGAGGGTGGGCAGGTCGTGGTCGGGCTGCGGAACCATGAGCGGCTGTGCAAACGGGTTTTCACAGACACTAGGGCGTGGGGCGCCGCCCAGAACCTTGCTGACCGCCTCCCCGCCCATCCAAGCGGCCTCCGCCGAGTAGTCTGTGAAGCGGGCGGTGAGCTTCTTCGCGCGACCGGTCCTCAGGCGGCACAGCGCGCGCAGCGCACCGGCCCACTCCGGGTACACCGCCAGGCCTGCAGGGAAGGTCAGGCATGGAGCCTTGGACGGCAGAAACTTCAAGAGGAGTCCATGTTGGGGTCCATGTGATTGGCAGAGGCCTGGCTGCCCATGATTGGAATTGACGCACAGGGACGACACAAGGTACTGTCACAGACTGCATGCCTACGCCAAAGTACAAGCTGATGAGGCAGATTAATGCACATCACCAAGGCAAGGGCCTGCATATTCAGCATGACCCACCCACACCCACCCGCATTCGGAGCCACCACGAGGTCCACCTCCCGCAGCCTGCCAGCCCCTTCATCCCCCGCGCATGACACCTCCCCCCCGCCAGGGGGAAAGAGGAGGTCCTGGTACAGCCCGCGCCTGAAGGTCAGGGTGCAACACAGCCCAGGACCACCCCCGGCATATCTGGGCCCGTGCCAGGCCACCGACCGGCTGTCCAGCTGAGGTGGCACCCCAGGCCCCACCAGGACCAGGATCCAGGCAACGGAGGGCCAGAGGGCGGAGAGGACGGCAAACTGGGGCCAGCTCCCCACCTCCCACGCCGCGCCCAGCAAGTGGCAGGAAAGCGCGGCGGGGTGTGTGGCCTGGCCGGCCGGCCCCAGGTGCGCCAGTGCTGCGCCGTGCACGGTCAGCACGGCGTCCAGGCAGAGGCGGAGGGGACTGTCTGCGGGGGCGCCGCAGAGGCGGCAAAGGCTGGCCCAATCTTGGACGGGGTGCGGGGCCGTGGTAGGGCAGGCGGGCGTGCTCGTTCCTGGAAACAGTCCGACGAGGTTTGCGCATCCTGCGATCAACTGTCGCCCCGCGCGCTCGCCAAGGCCGTCCACCAGGAGGCCTGCAGCCTGCCGCCACTCCAGTTGCAGGGCTGGCGCATCTGGAGCAGCGTCCATCAGGCGGCGGACCCAGGGGAGGGCTAGGACGTCCACCACACTCCCCGCCGCACTCCTGTCCAGCACACCCGGCCACGCGCACTGTGTGGCCTGCGGCCCGGCCCTGATGAGGTCGGTCACCGCTTGACCATGGATGCATGGGTCCAATGTTTGCAGGAGGGCCTGCAGGGTGGGACGAGTGTGGGAAGGGCATGTGACCTGCAGTGTAGGCAGGCAACATAGCACCTTTCCCAGCTTTCCCCCACAGCCACCTTGACATCCACCACTTAGAACACCGCTCACCCCTCTGGACTCCCGCTGGCAGGCGAAGCGGAAGCATTGGTCCACGTTATGCCCACCACCAAAGGCGTGCACCTCCCGGCACAGGTCCGAGCAGTAGTAGACGGCGGTACACTCGGGGCAGGTGAGAAGTTCCTGGATGTGCTTGTTACAGACGTAGCATGATCGTTCAGGCTGGGCATGCGACATGGTGTGCGTTGCTGCCGACGACGATGCCCTCCCGATCACCTGGATCGCCTGATTGGGGAGCCATCGGCCTCATCAGACCAACACCATGGCTCCTCGACACCCGGGATGCCAACATGCGAGGTCGATATTTACATCGGCACCGTGTCGAGTCATGGACATGGGGAGGAGGGGGTATGGAATACTCGACGAGGCCCGTGTCGAAGGCGCGCGTCGCCGCGCGCCTCACTTGGCGCCCTCCACCGCCGCGTACTGGAAGGTCACCGCCAGCGCCAGGTGGTCGGAGGAGAGGAACTCGGAGGGCAGGCCCCCGTCGGCCCCCCCACCCCTCACCTCGCTCTCCTCCATCAGCTCCAGCGTGGCCACGGGCACCAGCGAGTCGGAGGTGTAGAGGATGTAGTCCAGCGTGCCCTTGAAGTTCCCCGTCAGGTTTGTCCACCGCGGCTCGGCGGTGGCCAGGTCCAGGCGCCGGCGCTGGCGCACCAGCCCCGCCGAGTCGGCCTCGCCTGGGACCGCCAGCGCCGCGTAAGCGCTGGCCAGCGGCAGCCCGTGCTGCAGCTTGGCGGCCGGGCGCAGGATGCCCAGGGGGTCGTTGCTCAGCTCCTGATCATGGTTTTTTGGGGGG